GTATTTCTATTTAAAAAAGTAAAGTTGACCTTATCCTGATCTTGGCGACGTCATCTTAGGTCAAATAACTACTGTCATTAAATGCGACTTTTTAAGCCTTACAACTTTTATTGGAAACATTTTTCTCTAAAATGCTCCCCCGCCGAGTTTTCTTGCCGTTGCCGAACTTATGAGACACATTGTATATGTATATGTGTGTGTGTGTGTGTGTGTGTGTGTGTGTGTGTGTGTGTGTGTTAATATACATATATTAATATAGGCACTAACTCTTATGTCAATATAAAAATTTCACGTTAAACTAATTAAATTTAAGTAAACATATATCTGAAACTCTAAAAGTAAAACCTAAATTAAGAAAGAAATAAAGTCAATAAGAGCTACATTCTAGATATTCGTGTAAATGAAATGGGGAGAATAATAATGTTTGTAAGTGATAAACACACGCGCCGAATAATTTTCCGGTCTTTCAACGTACGTGATGAATCACATCTTCTATTAAGGATGTAAATATCTAGCATTTAGCTTTTATTGGCCTTATTTCTCTTTTAATTTAGGTTTTATCTTTAGAGCTCTAGATACATGTTTGGTTATTTGAAACGCTGGCGGAAGAGGCATATAGTATATTTATATCCCTAAGAATAACAACATATAAGCGTTTAGTGTTGCGAGGAATGCTGTCGAAGTCTTGGTAGCCGAATTAATACGGCGCACAATGTGCCAAAAAGCACATTGGTGGACAAAATCCTGCCTATATTACAAATCTATATAGATTTTTATGAAATTTTTAAAAAAATACTTATGAATAGTTTTACTATAATGTTTTATTGCCAAAAATTTGAAAAAGTAAACATAACCTCAAAAAGTAACTCCAAACTCCATTACCTATTATCCCTAATTTAATTACTTCAAACTTCATAACACCATGATCCGAACCTATCATTCTAAACCTTATAGTCCCATAATTCCTAAATCTAGATTACCCCTGAGTTCAATAACCCCATAACCCTAAACCCAATAACCACAATCTCCATAACCGCATGATCCTAAGCCCCACATTCGTAAACCCTATAACCGTATAACCCTGAACTTCATAATCATAAACTCTAAACTTCATAACGCGATAACCTTTCATAAACCCGAAACTTCAAACCTCATAACCAGGTTTTCAGATTATGGAGTTCAGGAATATAAGGCTTAGGATCACAGGGTTATGAAGTTTGGGGTTATGGGGTTTTTAACTCGTGGGTAATCAGGTTTAGGAGTTATGGGACTATAAGGTTTGGAGTGATGGAGTTTCGGACCATGATGTTATGAAGTTTGAGGTAATCGAATTAGAGGTAAAGCTGGCCACACACACTTTCCGTAACAGTAACCGTAAGACGTAACGTAAGAATTGACCAATCATGTTGAGAATCGTCGAATCATTGAAGATCGCCATTTTTATGAATACTCGATTGTAATTGGTCAATTCTTACGTTACGTCTTACGGTTACTGTTACGAAAAGTATGTGTGACTAGCTTAACAGAATTTAATTTGGGGTAATGGAATTTGGGGTTATTTTTTGGAGTTATGTTTACTTTTTTCAAATTTTTGGCAGTAAGACATTATAGTAGAACAATTTACAAGTATTTTAAAAAACGTTTCATCAGAATCGATGCAGATTTGTGATGTAGGTAGAATTTTGTCCACAAAATGTGCTTTTTGGCACACTGCGACGTCCTGCCTAACAACTGGAGATGTCCAGATTCGACTCCTGACTGAGTATTTTTCGCAACTTAAAAATGAATTAACACGCATTGAGAGTATTAAATATATAGGGTATTTAATAATCACAAAATATTAAAGCTCCTGGCCTCTCGCATTGTCTAACTCTTTTTAATGACGTCAGAAGCGAGAAAATACATGCTAAAAATTCTTGCGAAATACATTGAAATAAAAATATATATCCATAAAGTAACAATTGCAATCGATTAAACAAATTTGTAAGATATTCCGTGCACTTCCCTTTTATTTACGAGAATTGTTAGTTGAATTGTATAATAGAGAAATATATCTTTTTTGTAGTTCAAGTTAAGAAAAGAAAGATAGCTACAAAAAAGTTTAATACAAAAAAAGTAATTAATCTGTTATTAGACTCTAATGATTCATCCCCTGAAAGCAAAAGTTAATAAAAAAATTAAATAAAGTATTTGCATTATCTACAACATATTTACAAGTAATATTTACTAGTAATTTGCTCCTTTTAATACTTAAATATAACAAAACAAATCTTTCTTTTCCGTTTTTCCAATACAAAATATATGTGGAACCTATATACATTTATAGTATACCCTACTGAAAAATTTCTGTTGAGATAAGAAGAAAATTCCCAATTCAGTTCTCACAAGGAGATGACGCCAATTAGGAAATCGCTTTTCCAACGAGTCATAGTGCGTTCGATAGCTTACATGTAGCTAATAAAAACCCTAAAGGCGTTTGTGCCAATGGGCCTTCGTTTAGGAGAAATTACAAAACAAAGTTAGGGTCACGCAACTATGTCCCATGTAAAGAAGAACATTAGAATCTTTTTCGAGTAAGCGGCGTAGCTGAGCCGACTAAGGCTCCCGTCCATACATTTTTGCGCCGGCGGCGTGCGTTCGAGTCCCGCCGACGACTGCTTCGCTTTTTTTTTTTTT